CAGGTCATGATCCCAGGGTCCTGGGATCCAGCCCTGCATTGCACAGCCTCGCGTTCCCTGCTCAGCGGGGAGTCTGTTTCTCCCTCTCCTCCTGCCCCTCCCCCTGCTCATGATCTCTCTCTCTCAAATGAATAAAGTCTTTAAAAAAAATAAAAAAAATAAAAGGTCTTTGGCTGAAGATCATAACTTAGTACTTTTAATAATATGAAATATAAAAACATTTTTCTAACTTTTGAAAATCTTTCTAACTTCTCAAAAGTGAAACTTTCTTACCTAGCAATTAAACCAAAATATAGGAAATAGCCATTTGAAATACATAAAGGCTAGAGTGCCTGGGTGACTCAGTCATTTGAGCATCCGACTCTTGATTTCCGCTCAGGTTGTAATTTCAGGGTCATGAGATTGAGCCCCTTGCCAGGCTCTGTGCTCAGTGGGGAATCTGCTTCTTTCCCTCTCTCTCCCTTTGTCTCCCTGCCTTGCGCAAGCAACACCCGCTCTCTCTCTAAATCTTAAAAATACATAAGGGCTGGGCGCCTGGGTGGCTCAGTTGGTTAAGCGACTGCCTTCAGCTCAGGTCATGATCCTGGAGTCCCGGGATCGAGTCCCGCATCGGGCTCCCTGCTCGGCAGGGAGTCTGCTTCTCCCTCTGACCCTCCCCCCTCTCGTGCTCTCTCTCTCTCATTCTCTCTCTCAAATAAATAAATAAAATCTTTAAAAAAAAAAAAAATACATAAGGGCTATGTGGTATAATGACATTAAAGGAACATATATATCATAGTTATTGTTACTAATGTTCTAGCATTGCTCTTTTATATTATTTTTTCATTCAAATGAAATATATCCAAACCATATAATGTACATAGGCATTAAGTAAACCTTTTAGAAATAATTAAATGTGTTTAAAAGAACCAAAAATTTTTATGTCATTATACCGTTTTACTTAAAGTTGTAGATAAATGGACACAACCCAATGTCATCTTAGATTTTTTTTTTTTTTTTTTTTTGAGAGAATGAGATAGAGAGAGCATGAGAGGGGGGAGGGTCAGAGGGAGAAGCAGACTCCCCGCTGAGCAGGGAGCCCGACGCGGGACTCGATCCCGGGACTCCAGGACCATGACCCGAGCTGAAGGCAGTCGCTTAACCAACTGAGCCACCCAGGCGCCCCCAATGTCATCTTAAATACAGGACGATAATTAAACAGTAATTTTTAAAAGTAAGGTATACTCTATATAATTTCATGCCTTTGAGAGTGAATTTACTGAGTACTAGAAAATGGACATCCACATCCAAGAAGGAAGTCTTCACGACCTCTATTTTTAGTTAAAGCTGTTATCTGAGATCTAATTTAAAAGCCAAGTACAGACAGATAGCCAGCAAATCTGACTCCCTTACTGCTGGCATAACACAGATGTTTTGCCTGCATTTTTCCTATTTAAAAATGATACCACACAGTCACAGTGCACAATCCAGATTGAATATACCAAATTACATTCCCTCTCTTAACTCCATTTCACTATGTAAAAGAGAATGGTGCATGATTTCAGTGTCTTTTTTGGTTATTAAATACTTATTGGGAGCCAATTACATGCCAGGTGTGGTACTAGGTGCTGGAACACAAAGCTATTATTAGCTTACACTTCATGTCTTTGTTACATGGTAAAACTACAATATTAGAATTCTGAAAGTCCATTCTCCTGGAAGACCAGGTGAGACTGGTGAGACTGTGACAAAGTAGATAGAACTAGGGAACTTTGATCTAGCAAGGGCTTCATCATTCATCCAGTTTGATACAGATACTGTTCTACACATGAGCACAGAAGTCTTCCAGAGTTGAAAAAGTAATTCTATGGGTAAGAAGAAGTGGGATTATTAGCACTGAAAAAATGTGAAGTCTGCAGAAAGGTAAATGGAATGCCTTCAGATTCCAAGGATGTCTGCTACCACATTTACATGGTGGCTAAAAGGAGTAGGTTTAAATGACTGACAAGTAATCCCTTATGGCACTCTAGAGAGTTCTCAAAGTCCTTTCACACTATTTAATTTTAATTTTCCTGAAATTATAATTTTACATGGAAAGGAACTAGTAAGGGTAAACCAGGCTTTTAGCAGTAGGCTACCCCTGCATTTCCCAAACTGCATTCTGTGGAACTGGGATATTATAGTCATTAGGTAAAAGAATAAATAAATAAATTTGTTAAGTTCATGATCAACTAATTTAGGAAAATAAATCAAAGTTAAAAAGTACATCTACTACGAACCATGAGACGATGGACTCTGAAAAACAAACAGGGTTCTAGAGGGGAGGGGGGTGGGGGGATGGGTTAGCCTGGTGGTGGGTAATGAGGAGGGCACGTTCTGCATGGAGCACTGGGTGTTATGCACAAACAATGAACCATGGAACACTACATCTAAAACTAATGATGTAATGTATGGGGATTAACATAAGAATAAAAAAAAAAAAGTACATCTACTACAGGACTTCTCAGAGTCTTCACTATGCTATTATATAATGCAAATCTCCAAATGGAGGAAGGGAATAGTATCAGTTCCCAAACTCATTTGATCACAGAATCCTTTAATCTTTTAATTAAGTATCATTTTAAGCATCTAATGTTCCAGAAAACAAACTCTGCACTAATGTACCAAACAAAAGAAGAAGAATCAAGTCAGAGGAGAACATACTTCCAGAGGCAAAATCTACTAATAGCCAGCAGGTCAGAGACCTCGAAAAAAGACCACAAAATAGCTCCTGAGAAGGCCAAAATGTCCACCATACCTGGCTGCAAAGTCAATGCCATCTTCCCTTGGATACAGACACTGAACAACTAAATGTAGCAATTAATGGCTTCCTCCAAAATATTTACTGAGCGACTACATTGTTCCAGGCACTATGCTAGAAGCTAGAGATATAACAATGAATAGTATGGAAAAGGTCCGTGATCCTATAAAGCTTAGATTCCAGGGGCGCCTAGGTGGCTCAGTTGTTAAGCGTCTGCCTTCGGCTCAGGTCATGATCCCAGGGTCCTGGATTCGAGCACCGCGTGGGGCTCCCTACTCAGCAGGAAGCCTGCTTCTCCCTCTCCCACTCCCCCTGCTTGAGTTCCCTCTCTTGCTGTGTCTGTCAGATAAATAAATAAAATTAAAAAAAAAAAAATAAGCTTACATTCCAGTTGGAGGACACAAAAACAAGAAAATACCAGATTGCCTGGTGCTATGCAGGAGGGAAAACAAAAATGTGGATGATGTGGTAGAGGAAATATGATTGAGTTGGGCTGGTATTACAAAAAAAGCATAAAATAAATGAATGAATACAGGCTCAAACTTAGGTAACAATAAAGAACAGGAACAAACTGGGGCACCTGGCTGGCTCAGTCGGTAGAGCATGCAACTCTTGATCTCGGGGTTGTGAGTTCAAGCCCCATGTTGGGTGCAGAGCTTATGTAAAGAAAAAAAAAACAGGAACAAATATTGTCGCAGTTACAGTAAACACAAAGTACTTAGTAGGTGCAGGGTACTATACTAAGATTTAAATGCTTTATTATTTAAACCTCACAACAACCTTTTGAGATAAGTAGTATTAATCATTCCCCCATTAAAAATGAAACTGAGGTATAAGAGAAGTTAAATTAGGTGCTCAAGGTCACAAAGCTAAAAACCAGGAGAGCTTAAATTCAAATGCAGCAATCTAGGTCAAGATGATAAATTCCTATTTGGCCATCAGACTGAGCAGTATCTACTTGGCAGATACCAAACTGCCACTGCAACAATTTTAAAGATTTTTTCCACCTTCTCAATGTCTATTACATATAACTAATTTGTCTACCTGCCTGAAGTCACCAGCAGAGAGACCCAACAAATGATTGTATGTGTTTTCTTCCCCTTAGGAAAAGCAGAAACTGAATCCTGACATACAGATTTACCCAGGTTATAAAGAAATTCATCAAAGAGCACACTGTGGGAGTAAAAGACCCAGGCTAAATTCCTTGGATGAGAAGAAGAAAACTATAGCCCTGAGTGGTTAAGTAACCAAACCACAGTCACTTAACCAAGTAACAAGGGAGCCGGGAGCAGAACCAACCTTAATGTGGCTCCATCATTATCCTCATGCCTTGACGATGGGGACCAGATCAGCACAGAGGATGGACTGAACTGGGTACAGAATCAGTGGGGAGACTATATTATTGGTAAGAATACCAACACCAAAACAACGTATCTGATACCAAATATTATGTAAGTGGTGATTCATTAAATAATGGTAATTTATTTATCCAAAATTAAGACCTAAATTCATAAAGAATCATGACTACTGTCGCCAACAGATTTTGGAAGAACTAAGAAGTTCAAGAGGCTATGTGCAATCCCATAAGCCAAGTGCAATGGCCTCTAACTTGGGTATGGTTCACAATCAGATTTTCTTTTCTGTCAAATGACAGCCTGTACTTGGTAAAGTCCCAAGTCCTCCAGGATGTGAGGTGCTTTTTTAGAGTTATGGTTCTCAAACAGTTCCAAATGTATGGCCATCATTTAAGAATCATGTGGCCCAACTGAAGATGCATCAAAATTAATGATTAAAGTTACATTTTCTACACTAACTGATCTGACTTTGCTTAGGCAACAGGAGAAATTTAACATGCTCCACACTAAAGAAATGGGACTTATTGACACACACAAAAAAGAGCTTTTTCTTTTGCACTTATTGGTAGACAAGCAATAAATACAACCTAGTTTCAACTCAATTATGACTTAGTTGAAACAGGTTTATGAGACTAAATGCCCTTAAAACCAAGCGGGAGAAAAAGAGACAGTAAAGAAGAGAAGGGAAAACGGAATTATAGTGAAAACAAGGCAATTGTGTGCATTATTTCAATGAGAATTAAACCACATTCTGATAGTTTCTAATGGTTTTAATGTCTCTCCAATCTTTACAAGTTAATAATGTTAGGCAGAAACAGTCACCTATGGTTTCCAGTAATAGCAGTTAACAGAAAAACAGAATTATACAGAGATGATGAACTCACTGACGGGGGGACAGAGACTCTGTGCTGATTGTAAAAAAAGAAAAAATATATATAAATAAATTATAAATCAACATTTGGAAGAGTAAATTCCATCTATCACTATCTTGTCTCTGATTTTAAGACTCACATTTAAATCAGACTGGTTGTATAACTTATTGAATTGTATACTTTAAATGGGTGAATTGTATGGTATGTGAATTATCTCTCAATAAAGCTGTTAAAATTTAAGTCAGATGCTGGGGAGAAGGGGACAGCAGTGTTTGAAAACAATGCTCCAGAATAACTAAGCTTTTCTATATAAGCTGACCAATGAAACCAAGTGCTAAACAGGCGCTGGTGAAACAGAATAGATGAGATGTTTCTGGCATGTTAATAAAGAAATCCCTTCAACTGATTTGGTTCTTGATCAGCAGCCAGCTAAACGCCTTTGCTAACTGCAATCCTGACCCACTCCTCTCCCCTCTGTGCAAGAGACATATGTGAAGAGGGTGAGAACCACATGCTTCTACTAGAAGGAAAAAATAATCTTCTGGCAATTGTGGTGGGGTGGTTTGGGGGGGAAAGGCTGTTAATTCCAGAACATTTTCAAAAGCATCAACTACTTTCCTCACAAGCACAATCTCCTCAAAAACCAGAAGAAAACAAACTACCTTATCTCTTAAGTATAAGATCCATTTCTCCACAGGGGCCTTTTCAAGGAAATGTACTCTTTTCTAACCACTGTCCCTTCTCTTGTTCAGGGGGAGACTTGGGATTTTTCTGATTATCACTGAGTCACTTCTGCCCCTCCTTGGCAAAAAATAATACTTTTTTAAAAATTAGAAACAAACATGACAGATGCATAGCTCCATGTTCACACACCTACTTTTGGCAGTGTAGCCAAATGCATGGACCCCACAGGCAGACTGCTGCTCTGCCATTTACAAGCTGGGGACTCTTGGACTACAGAGCTCTTCGTGCCCCTCTCTTCTCATCTGTAAAAAAAGGGACAATTACAGTTCCTACATTACACCACGGATTAATTTACTACCAATTTTGGTCTTACCAACATTTTGCACATGGTATATAGTAATAATAATTATCATTATTATTATTATTATTTCAAAGAGTGAACTGGCAACTTAAAAAGTATGAGAACAGTTTGGTTTGAAAACTTAGAGTTATGACAATTCTTTAAAAGCTATACAGATATACTGAGAATGAACAAATATGTAAATGGATGGCGAATGGCAGGAGCCAGGTTTCTCACTAATGGAGAAGGAGGCTACAGATAAGCAGTGGGGGAAGGCTAGAATGAACCATGTGGCAGTAGATTAGATTTGGAGACAGCAGTATGAACTCATGTTCAGCTTAAAATAGATACTGTTAGATACAGAAATAATTATATGTATGTATGTATGTATACATGGGTTAGTTACATATATATTTATATTTAGCTAGGTTAGTGATACAGTAATTTAGTAATAATTTCCTGGCTCTATCCACTGAGAGGGCCTAGAAGTAATAACACACCAGTAACAATAAATACACCCAGAGCCTATATCATGTTCTTATTCTACTTCCACTAAAAGGAACCAGGAATCCTTAGAGAAATGGCTGGTTATAAGGCTTGGGCAGGGAATATACATGATGAGCCTGGAACACCTATACTGCCAGAAAGTCAGGAAGTGTTAAAAACAAAACGATGGACATCATCAAAGGGAAACAAGAGACAACCTGAAAGAGCTCCCAATGGCTAAGTTGAAACAATGTGAACAACCTGACTACTGGATTATAACCCAAAGTATAAAATAAATATCCATAAATCTATTGGATATAAAATAACTAAAGGGCAAAAATACAAATCTCCATACAGAGGAATTCCAAGTGATTTATGTAGTTACTTCCTCCCTCAAAAAGATGAAGCTTAACCCCCTAAGTGTGGGGCTGAGTTTGGTGATTTGCTTTCAGAGAGCACAACATGGAAAGGTGGGAAAAAATAACTTTACATAAAGTGTAGAAACCTAGAAAATATTACCACCGTCAGGTTACCATCACTAGCGATAAGCCATGTTAGTTAGCATGGATACTTTATCCTCCCCAAAATTCATAACCCAGTCTAACCACGAGAAAAACACCAGACAAATCTAAATTGAGAAACACACTACAAAATACCTGATCAGCTCTCCTCAAAACTGCTAAGGTCGGGGCGCCTGGGTGGCTCAGATGGTTAGGCGTCTGCCTTCGGCTCAGGTCATGATCCCAGGATCCTGGGATCAAGCCCCGCATCGGGCTCCCTGCTCAGCGGGAAGCCAGCTTCTCCCTCTGCCTCTGCCCCTCTCTCTCTCTGACTCTCATGAATAAATAAATGAAACATTTAAAAAAAAAAACCAAAAAACTGCTAAGGTCATCAAAAACAGAAAAAGTCTGTGAAACTCAGAGACCAGAAAATTCTGCTTAAAAAGATGATGACTAAATGTAATATGCTATCCTGCAGGGATCCTGGGACAGAAAAGGGACATTAGGGAAAAACTAATGAAATCCAAATAAGCTGTGGAGTTTGGCTAATAAGGACATGCTAACTGGTTCATTAGTTGTTACACATGTACCACGGTCGGTAAGAGGTTAACAAAAGGGGGAAAACCGGGTGAGGAGTACATAGAAACTCTCTAGTATCTTTGTGTTTTTTTTATAAATCTAAAATTACTCTAAAATAAAGTTTATCTTCAAAAAATCTTAACTAAAGAGGGGCATGTGGGTAGTTCAGTCGGTTAAGCGTCTGCCTTCAGCTCAGGTCATGAACTCAGGGGCCTGCTCAGTGGGGAGTCTGCTTCTCCCTCTCCCTCTGCCCCTCCCTGCCTGTGCACATGCGTGCGTGCTTGCTTTCTCTCTCTCTCTCTCTCTCTCAGGTAAATAAATAAAATCTTTAAAAAAAAATAAACAAATGATGATCTTAACTAAAGAATTAAACAATTTAAATATTTTTTTAATGTTATGAGTTTAAAAAGGTGACTTTAAATCTTGGCTGATAAAGAAAAAGGTATTTGTCTCCCAAAACAGCTGATCATATCTGGTAAAGAAATAATTTCTGCAAACAATGTTGCTAAAAAAAAAAATTATATCCCATAAGCTTAGTTTCCAGACTTTTTTAAGAACCACTGAAATAAGTTAAATTATATTTTTAAAATACTGTCTAAACTCTTGTAAAACAGTCTAATTAAATTGCACACGTTTTATATGATCACTTCTTATAAAAGTTGTTACAGAAATATTCTTTAAATTTTAATTCAAATATTGCACGATAACATGATAGAAACAGCTGAAGAAATCTCAACACAAACAATTTAAACCTAATGTAAAAATAGCAACTCTGCCCAGTAATTAACAGAAACCTTCAATTTTGGTTTTTGAAGAAAAAAAAATTTGTAGAACCTCATGTAACCACAGTTTACTGAAGGACAAAAAAAAAAACCTCAACATTCCAAATCAAAACCTCTTCCTCCAGTAGTGTTAGAGAATCAACATCACAGCACTAACCAGAAACAGGAGATCCCAAAAGAAAAATGTCAACACAATGACTGAAATAAAAATGACAATAACTGATATTACTGTTCAAGCTGAATGACATTCAAAAAACTTAACATAACTATGTGTGGCAGGTTTCTACAAAAGGCTTTATAGTCTCTACTTGATGCTCTTCGAAGGTTTGGGGTTTAAGTTTTTATTGAAGGAAGGAAGGGTGGTGGAGCATGTCGTGAGCAAGGAATAGAGAAGGGAAAGATGAACAGGTTTTAATAATGACACTGTCCATCCGGTTTATCACTCAGCACCTTCAATGCTTTCTTATTTTCGTCAACTTCGTCACTTCCTAAAAATGACATAGAGGGAGAGGAGTACATAGGGACAGTGAGAGATCGTAAGTCATCTATTCCTGAGGTACTATAAGGATAACAGGAATCTAAAAATGGATTTTAGGGATGTACAGATGTTGAAAGACAACTCATAACAACAACAGTGGGTAATCTTTACCTGTATTTACTCCACTATTTTTACCTGTTTCAACTAAAAAATATTCAGTAACTTGTAATACCAAACCTTTTCCTGAAGACTGTAACTTCCACAAACATGTATACTTACATCACAGGTCTTTTGTATCATATTTCATTCATTCATTTAATATGCCTCAAAAGAAAGCTTGAAACCATGAATCTTGAATTCCTTGGATATTAAAAGTGAAAAGAAAGTTAGATAAGAGCTTTTCTTCCTCTGAAAACTAAGGACAAAAGATGTCCCTTACCTATGCTCCCATCACTGAATAATTCCTGTTTTCAAGTGTGCTCTTTAACTATAACTCCCTATCAGTCTCTTCAAATTTACTAGTTACCACTTCAGGAGTAGAGAGGTGAGGGGGATGGGACACCTTTCTACTTAAATATATTATATCTCAATCAACTCGTCCAAAATCTAACTCCACATCTCTCTTCACTCAACTTCTTCTAGGGCATCTATGTCCAAAACTTACCCTGTTGTTAATTGAAGTCACATCATTACCATTCACTCTTGGATGGGGACAAGACATTCCAGGTAATATGAAATATCAGGCTGAAGATTAATTGTCCACCCTACATCACACCTGCCTATCCACCATGGGACTAAGTGGTCCCTGCCATGAAGTAGCTCCTTATCCACACTTCAGTTCAATCATCTTCAGTGGTTCCTTTATTTCTATCATATTTAATTTGTACCCTGGAGACAGTTTCTCAAGGCATATTTTGGTCTCAACTACCTCTCTGTAGCAAACAGTGACTACAAAGCATAGGTTCTGGAGTTAAGGTTCTGAATTCAAATCCCAGTTTTACCACTTACTAGATGTATGACTTTGGGCCTACTCTTGACCTTTCTTTTTGTGCCTCAGTATCCACATCTATAAAATGGAAATAACAACAATGTCTACCTCATGCTTCTGAATCACCTGCAATCAGATTCTTTGCCAACCATTCCAACCTCTCAAGAAAATGACTCTACAGACAGCACGTATATCCTAACTAGACTCACTGGTCTCCCAGTACTT